TTTCCATCTGAATAAGCGCCAGCGGGCAGTTATTTGGGGTTAAAGGTTAAAATGCCGTCTTAAAGCTTTTCTATATTTGGGACTGAAACTGGACTTTCCCCATACGCTTTCAATAGCTTCATTTCATCATTTTCTAAAAGAACTAGGATGACTTTCACAGTATGCTGGAATAATTTGTGTTTTTCTCAAAATAAGTATGTTCTTAGGTGAAATGTTTTGCTTCTGTATTGTCGCCCGTGAGCGCTTATTCGGGTGGGCGGTTATTTGGTTCCAAAAATAGTTTTATGAAATGGAATTTGTCGTTTAACCGCCCTGGGCGGATTTTCGGAAAATCACGGTAATACAAGGTCCTAACGATGTTCGAACTCGAAACATGAATTATTTCAGTAGTGATTTTAAAAAATAAAAGGGAGGAAAAGTGACCAAACCTGATCGAGAGAAGCAGGCATTCCACTACTCATAGAGGTTTGCGGTTGAGGTGGCGGCGGCGGCTGCTGCGGGAAGGGTCCCCCAGGAAGTGGTGGTGGCATGTGGGGATACCCTCCTGGGCCTCCTGGCATTGAAGTTGGTGGTGGCTGTTGGAAACCTCCAGGTGTGGGATACATTCCTGGTGTATGAAAAAATAAGCTTGTACAAAGTTCATGAAAGACCAATCAAGTAAGGTGGAGAATAATATAGCGATTTATTTTAAAGGGATAAACGTATTTTTGAATGCACAAGCAAACTAAAAGCTGTCAAAAAGCGAAAAACCTTTCAAATCTTTACACTTCGTGGTGAACGAACGCTTTTCGTTTAATCCGTGTAGTTGAACCGACGACATATATTTCCCTTAACGTACAAAACAGTGAAACCAGTAATATGCTCAAGGAAATTTCGCTATATTACTGAACTGATTTCAGTAGCAATTTAATGCATTGAAACTTTGGAATGAAATAAAAGAGAAGTTAATTACAAAAACTGATAATTGAATTTAACTTAGCTGAAGTTAGGGAAAAGTGAAAAGGGCGGATGAGGGAAACATTTCAAATGTATCGTAAAATGCTTCCAAACTACGAAGCCCGTGTTAGAGGAAGGCACAATACAATTTTGCGCAGTTGACTAGCCCATACCGTAACGCCGTAATAATGTCATGCACCCATCAGAAGCGCTATGATATGATGAGGTTTACAGACTCCCTCTAAAGCAAGTTATCCGACACCCACCAGTCAACTAGCGCACACACATACACGTCTGATTACGGCAAAACAAAACAGACAATCACAAGGCCTAAGGAATCTATTGCCTTAAACAACCACTGGATTGAAAGAATCACAAAGGATGGACATAGAAAAACGTGGTTTGATAAATTAAAGATAGGCTAACAGAACTTCAGCTGCGAAGAAACTAAAAGATTCTATCATTAGAAAAGACTAGGGATTCTTTCCTTCAAATAAAAGTGATAAGAAAGAATAATTCGAAAATGCTCACCAGCTTGCTCAGGGGGGTATGAAGGCGGTTGATTTGGGAAAGGAGCGCCATTTATTGGGAAAGACTGATGAATCCGAGGAGGTTCGACATTTGTGGCCGCTGTCTCAGCAGAACTAGGGACATTTGAATCTGGTTTAAGGGGTGGAATCTGCTCATGAGTACGATTCAGCATTGCAATGGCAACCTTGGGGTCAACAATCTTCATAACAACTTGAGCCTAATATGAATAAATATTGCGATTATGTTAGTAAGCCGTATTTACAAGGTGGAAAAGGAAGTTTTACCTGTAGTAAAGCGTAAGCAAGTTGTGGATTATGAAGGAGCATAGTTCGTGCTTCATTCGGGTTATTCTGAATACAAAGTTTCATTTGAACCATGAGGTTATACATCTGTTCTGGAGGGAGACTCGCTACAGCACGACTGATGATTTCTGGAGCCTCTGATGGATCGCAACGGTCCCCATAAGGTTGTTCAACTGGGGGACCAACAAAAGGGTTAGCTAAGGCGATTTCAGCTGAGTTCTGTTCACCAGCAGCAGCCCCAACTCTTAGTGGTCTGCCGTTAAACTCAATGTTCTGAAGGTTTCGCAAAGCACTAGAAGCAATAGCAGCGTTTGCGTATTCACAAAATCCATAGCCCTTTGGTTTGCCAGATTCGCGATCATATACCAAACGAAAACTGACAACAGGACCAGCGTTTGAAAACAACTCTATAAGCTTATCTTCCGTTGCTTCGTAGGGAATATTTCCAACGAAAATTGATCGAGCTGTTTTTTCAGCGCTTTCTTTACCCATCACATTTTGCACTGTTTGCATGTTCGTGCTTATGTTCATAATTTAACGACGAACAATCGGAGTAAGCGGTGTCACCTAGGCTAATGAAAACACGATTAATTAACCAAAAATTACTCATTATAGGATGATGTCTTGATTTTCCTCATAAAAATTCAAAAAATATAATATTTCTTTTGCTTTTTCAATTTATTAACATATATTCAATATTAAGATTGAGCTCATTAATTTCAAGTAAACATATACTATGCTTTTGCAAGTATGTGAAACTTAACATTGAATTAAGGTATGCTTAGGTTTGCCTTTGTGCAAAAAAAATAAGCCAATATTGTAATAGAGATAGAGCTAAAGTAAACTCCGTTTCACTGAAATAAATTGAAATGCATACCAAATTATAATTTCTGCAAAATTAAACTTAAAATGACATTAATCTATTTTAATGGGCAAAATTCTCTTTCGATAATTTTAAGGTTGAAAATCGCTTTATGAAATATATATATATATGTATATAATTCGATTCTCCTTTCTACACAATTTAATTCGGCGTGTCAATGACGATTATGAGAAGCAGGCTTTGTGGCCAAATTAGGGATGAATGTTTCTTCTTCACAAAATAAAGTATTGTGAAACTCGGTTGAGTAATGATTGTATGAAAAATTATCATAAATTCTCCTCAATGGTTTAGCTTAGTGATTTCTCGTATGATTTGTGTATGTACCCTGATTTAGATCACCAAAATTATGAGACACCGAGATATTTCAATCAACTCCCAAACGGCAGATTATTTACATGTAAAACGTTTTATCGAATGTTACTGATTCTACAATAAGATTATACATAGTGCCGATGAAAAAGAACGGTTTCATTCCTATCAGTCGGATTTTAAAGCCATTACAATTAACAAGACCAATCTGTAATAAGACCTCAAAATATTTTTTGAAAACTTGTAGGCAAAATTGCAGCGCAACAATATCAAATCGTGGTATTTAGGCCCTATCAAATAATGGGCTATCCGTGACTCCCTTTCCTTGCATAAATTGGAGTTAAAACTTAATTTTATTTTTGTAATTTAGTGTTATGACTTTGCACACTGTCTTAAGGTCGTGATAAAATTAATCTTTTAATTTTGAGAAGGAATGATCAAATTAACATACCACTTTACCCAATTCCGTTGCATTTTTTTCATTTAATTTCTCAATGCCCAAAATTGGTCATAACTCAGTTCCGATTTTGTTAACCAGTAGTACCTAAAGAAACAGAGAATTTACATTTTGTATCACACAAACACACAGTAGAGTAGAACCGAGCCAAAATCTGCGCGCACACACGGCATTTGATTAGTTGGACTTTGAACATTCGCACAGGGTAAATTACACGTTAAAGTAACGAAAAGCCCCACGAAATAGAACGAAACAAACACGCCAAAATTTCGCCTATTTACCTAAATGCTAAAGTCATAGTACTTACTACAGGAATAATATTTCGATCGATAATTAGACGATCTTACGCGCACTCAGATACGCAAACGCTTACTACAGATTATAATTTGTTTACAGTGTTTAGTGGGTGCGTAACGCAAATTTTCGACCTCACAGTTGTAACTAGGGCTAGTCATGTACTTGTCAGCCCCTATCCACCCTGCCCCCATCCTCCCCCCACCACTTTCACACAGGTTTAAAGGTATCACGTAGAGATAGCATGGTTAATGTAAACAATTTGAATTCAAATTCACTCGTGTCCACTTGTTATGATCACTAGTGCACGTTTGATGATTAAAATCAAAATTCGTTTATTTCTTTCATGGAGGTGACAAAGTTATACTATCCTCTGAAGCCATATGCTTTGGTAATTTAAGTATGATCTCCTTAATTTAACTAGCATTTTTAAAAATTGTCATATGTGAGTTCTAACACAGATTTGCTAATATCAAAATAATCCATTAAATGAAATCCATCGACAAAGAATATAACAAATTTTGACTTATTATGGCTAGAATTTTCGCTAGTTTGCAAGAGGACGTATAATAAACAATGAATGGGAATTCGATTCGCATACTGACGCACCCTAGTGCAAAGCATAGAGTACAAGAATATCTTTTGAATTGTTAACACCATGGTTCATAATTTCATTCTAAGATTATGGATTTAAAGCTCCATTACTTAATCAAAATTTAAGTCACAAAGGTAAATGTTCTATGAGCAATTTTAAATTCGAGCAATGATCGATCTATTTTCTATCTTTTGGCACAATACCATTTCTAAGAATACGTAATTAACATTCGTTTGGTACTACTCCAAACATCGCATACCTATTTTTCCACGTTAAAGATGAAGATGTTAATATATAGCATTTATATTTAGGTTTCAACGGACGGCAAAAGTAATTCAACGTCAAGGGTTAAGTAGAGTGAAAGAAAATGAAAATCAAACGGTTATCAAAATTGATAGCGCCTTTTTTGAAGGTGTAATTCACAAATTTACACTATTAGCATAGTTTAGTTGGGACACAAAAAGTGCAGAGAAATAGAGCTCTTTGTTGAGGCGAGATCTGATACGCACAAATGAGTACGATCACCATAGCAACACATGAGCGTGAATGCGTGAGCTCCTGGGCATAGGGTGTGTGTCAAGGGGAGAAAGAAACGACAAAAAACAATTATGAAAGAGAACAGGTATAACAAGAAAACTATGAAGGTTAATCTTCCAAAAATACGATGGAGCTAAACAAGTCCAGGGTGGGAGTTTTAGGTGGATGTACCATTGTTAAGGGAATTCAATATGGAAGGGGGCGAGAGTGAAGATGAATTGCCTGTTGAAGAAACGGGCAGACCATTAAGAATCATTTGTGACGTGCTGAGAAGAGGATCAGGCAATCTGAAATTTAGGGATCCTCCTGCAGAAATATTAGTCTGTTGAACTGAAGGGGCTGTCAAGTCAGGCATTAATGGTGGGAGAAAATTGACTGATCCACTCTGACCATTGTTTATCTGATTGACCAAAGGTTTCTGCTTGAAGTCAGCAATAATTTCTCCATTAGTAGAAGTTGTCGGTGCATTCATTGAATTTGGATCAACCATCAAAGCACCAGTTGGTATCATACCTCCACAAGGCAGCAGAGGATTTGAGATCAGAGAAGATTGAAAGTCAAGAAGTTGACTTTGCATCTGCAAATTCTGGAAAGAAAGGCCGCTGTCGTAAGTTGAGATCGGCAAAATGGGCGTCAGGGACCCTGGAGACGGCGGATAAAGTCCTGATTGGCATGGCAGAGGTGAGAAGGGTAGGTTTCGGTTCGATATAGCCTGTGGAAACACCATGGGAAGTAACGAAGCTGTAGATGCATTCTGAGACATCCCTCCTGTAGTGGATGTTGTTGGCAGTGCACCGTTAACTAAAAATTAACAAATAAAATATCATGAAAATAGTCCAGATATTAGAATGAAAGTAACTGAACCAGAACCATAACGGTCAACTCTATAGAAAAAATTTCTTACGAAAAGTTGGCAAGCAACATTCTGGGGTGTTGGAAAATTCACCTGAAAGTTTATCCCAGAATTCGTTGGTTTGGAGAAGGGGGTTAAATGTTGAATTCTCATTCATGTCAGCATTGAAGTCGAAATTGTCCCCGTTATACCAAAGTGAATCTGGCGGTATTTCATAATTATCACACTGGAGAATAAGGGAACTTAAGTCCTCGTGAATACCATTTAGAAATTTCGGTTCATCGTCACTTCCGCAACAACATAAATGACAACCTGCGATAGATCAATATCAATCAAAATCGTAATCATAGTTATTTCTTGCAACCAATAATCCCTGAAATCTGCTTTCTCTTTCTTGTGTTTAACAAGAAGTCGGTTCTGTGATAAATGTGAGAATATGTAAATTAGTAAGGTTTGTGAGCTCAATAGCCACCATAGCGCGTACTAATGTATTCAGCCACTCGTGATATTAACAGTGTGGTTGCTAGTGCCATTATAGATAACTGAATTCTCTTCTGTGTATATGAACATTATCTAGCTTTGCAAAGAGGCGGTATTAATTTGATTCCTCACTCCCTAGCGAAGCATCCTCAATCTGAAGTGGTGTAGTGAAAAGGGATACTCATGTCTAATTACTTTTGTTGGTAAGGGGTGTGCGATAGACTTACCTCCACGTGGTGCACCCTGGGCAACGT